CATAAAGACTAAACTGGGGAATCACTTAGCTTGGCTCCATGCCACACATTATACCTCTTTTAGTTTCATCCATACACAAATAGAAGTGTTTAAGTGACAAGTTATGGTTTTACATGCTGTAACCTATTCTTAGTTAAAAGGGACTGGACTCTTGTTGTCGCAGTGATGTTGACAGGTGTGGTACCACTGAGCCTGTCCAGAGACCCCACTCTTTCCTTGGCTGTGGCTCAGTGAAAACCCTTCTCTAGCCAGAGACGCCACACAGAAGTGTTGAATTTAAAGATAAGTGTCCGTCTAGAAATAGTTCCAGCACCTAACTCCTCCTAAAACCAAAAATGATCAGTTATACTTTCTGTTCTGCTGTATGGTTGGAATGAAAAAGTCATTTCATGTAATTTGCTGGTTTTCATTTTAAACTTTGGACAGAGCCAGACTAGCTGTTGCTCCCTGCTTTCAGTCTTTATGCTTAAGCTAAGCTAATCGCCTCCTGGCTCCAGCTCTGAGACATGAGAGTGGTATCAATATTCTCTTTTAACACACAGAAAGTGAGTGAAAGAGCGTATTTCAAAAAATGTTGAAATATTATTTTTTATGAACAAAATAAATGCAAGTAAGACACCTCAGTCTAGATTCCAGATTATATGTTTCTGTCCCTTTAATGGCTTCCTGTTGGGTGCCCATCAACATAATAGCAACTGACAGACGTCATTGTAAGACTGCCACGCAACACTTTGTACTTTCTTTTCTCTCATGAAGCTTCATGTAAGTAGAATGTCCTGGTGAAAACTAGTTAACATCTGTTGGAGTCACACACACACTCATCTGCACAAACATCTGCACAAACATCCATACACAAAACAGTGTTATGAAAGCCTTAGGAAAATATGTACCCTCTTGATCTCACATAGACACACACACAAAAAACAGACCATTGGTTCTGATCAAACAAATCTCTCTGGACGTGTCCTCCCCCCTAAGCAACCCCTCCAGGGATGTGGAACTGAGGGGGACACATTGTTAGGGGCGGAAACGCTCATCACATGATCACGTGCACTTCCTCCCTGAGGAATGTCAGTCCCAGCAGGCTGTTGTTTTATTTCCCACAACAACAAAAAGGTTTAGCCTTGCATAAGCAATCCTTAATGAGGATGATCCTCCGGGGGGGGGGGGGTCAAAATATATGCAACATGACATTTGTTGCACATACATTAGACCTGAGCTTGTTTTTGGCATCAACTCCCCATCCAAAAAATGTGTCCTCTCTTTTTGTACTCGCACTTACATGGTCAGACACCTACGGGCAAACTCATCCAAGTGTGCAGGACACAAACAGTAACATCAACAAACACATCGATACAGTAACCTGGGTCCATGTGTCTCTCTTTCCTCCAGGTGAGATGGAGGAGTTGGAGGCCCTGTGGCTGACAGGCATCTGCCACAATGAGAAGAACGAGGTGATGAGCAGCCAGCTAGACGTGGACAACATGGCGGGGGTCTTCTACATGCTTGGGGCTGCCATGGTTCTGTCATTCATCACCTTCATCTGTGAACATTTGTTCTACTGGCAACTGCGCTTCTGCTTCATGGGCGTGTGCTCCGGAAAGCCCGGGGTCACCTTCTCCATTAGCAGAGTGAGTGTGTTTGTGTTTTATTTTAGGTCTGACCTTTGTCCTCCTGACAGAAAGATCATAGGAGTGGTTGTTTTAAAACCACTGGCTCTGGTTGAGTTTATCGAGTCAGTCAGGGGCATATGATGACTCACCTGACTTACCTGTGGCTTTTTTTAGCCCAGGCAGTTTTTAAACAAGAAAACACAAGTCACGAGCATCCTGTGTCATGTAAAAAATCCTCAAAACAGTGTCTCAATGGATATTGAAATTCCCATTTTTATAATATACTTCCAGTCAGTTTTAGTATAGGCACCATGCTTTCCAACTCTGAGTCTTACAATAATGTAATATACACAGCAAAACTACATTTTGTCCTACTTTCATTTCTGTTCCTTTATAGTTGCTTATTAGTTCCAAATAACTATTTAACAATGAGGAAATATTTGATGTGGATGATTGTATTTCTGATTGTATTTTGATCATATTTAAGATTTGTGATAGATTTATATGTGTAGAATTTAGCTGACAAATGTGACGGCTCAGTTAGTAAGTCTGTGTGTAACTGACTGCAGCTATGACTCTTACAACAGACTCACAATAAATAGATAATATAGGCAAAATCTGATCAACTGCAACATTTAGGTGGCACTGCTCTCGAAACAAATTAGTTCTTGTCTGTAGTGTTCACAGCTGTTACAAAAACAGCCACACTTGAAGTCTGGGTGTCAAGCCCGTTGTCATAGTGAGGGGGAATACTCCGTAATCGGTTAAATATGAGGATACCAGCTCAGTTTTTTTGACAGTGTTTTTACACTCAGAAAGTGACAGAAGCCCAACACTCTTTACTTTTTCACCTCCACACACTTGGCCAATCGCTGCGTGATGTGAACGTGATTTTTGAATTGGCCATTTTGGAAAGTTGCAACAACTGACAAGCACAGCAGTGGGGTAAGGGGGTTTCAGACGCTGTTTTGACCATCCAACGAACACGTCAATAGAAGCGTACTGACAGCTTAACTTCTTACTCAGCTTTACTAAGTCAAACTATGACAAGAGTCGCCTAAATGTGAATAGTTTACAAAAGCATCGTGGCCAATTAATAACACAGGTAACTTTTTAGGAACTCTTTACAGCCTCTTTCCACATTAAGGGGACTGAAAAAAAAAAAACTTTGATGCCCACAAGGAAAAGTGTAAGCACCCGGCTTATCAATATGTTGATTGACAGAGAAATAGACCAACTGGTTGATATGCAAGCCTCACTTAAAATCGCAGACCCTGATTGGGTTTTAAAAAAAAGGCCACTGTCTTTGAGAAAATCCACTGTTTATCAGCTCAGTGCTGCTGAAATAAAAGCTACTTACTATGCTGCACATTCTCAGCTGCTGACCTGAAGGTGTGTTGGTGGATGTCGATGAGCTCGTCTCAGCGTAGTTACGACTCTGCTCAGATGGGTCCCTTAACAAGGTGCCTCAGTGTTATTGATGCAGGCTGTTTGGGTCCTTATAAATAATTGCTTGAGGTGTACTTGATTTGCATAATGTTATCCTTTAAGAGGGGGTGGGGGGGTTTGTTGTTACATGCAAATTGTCTCAGTTTATTATTTCGTGAGAAAAGGCTGAAGGTGTTTCAATTTGTAATGTCATTTGTTTACACCTGCTCAGACTAACCTGACACAACAAGACATCTGCCTTGAGCACCTTCAAAAAACACACTGAATTTCTATCTTTGTTGAATTGGCAGCAATCTCCCTCTGTCTTTGTAGCTTCTGAAACTGTGATACTTTTTATGTAAAACATAAGCAGTTTTGTTTTTTGCAGGGTAGCTTCAAGATTCATCTCAGGTCTAATGTGCTTGATGTTACTTCATCCACTTTTAGTGCAGACACATTTTCAAGAGTGGTTCTATTACTCAAGAGAGTCGCACAGCAGATATCTTTTATACACTTCCACTCCTTGTTTAACACTGAGGTTGCAGTGAGAGAAAGAAAAAATATTAAAGATAGTGAAGCATTCAATAAAATTGTAGTTCATATACAGTATATAGGAGGTGTAAGAATGGACAAGCAATGAGACTATAAAGGGCTAATAAGATACAGAGGAAGGAAAAAGAGATCAAGTTAGCAAGAGTAATGATAAAGAATAGAACCAGTTGCAGGACAAAGGCAGAGTAGAAAAGAAAGTAGCCACAGCGGTGGCCCAGTAACCTCTGTTCCATTACCTTCCACAGCAGCCATAGTAGCTATAGATGTAGAGAGATAAAGAACATCCCATTGGAGCGGCTGCCGCTCACCTGAGCGCCCGGAAACGGAGATAAAAAAGACACAAAGAGAGAATGGAGGCATGAAAGAAAAGAAGGGTTGAGGATTCAGATTCATGAATGTAGCTCTGTGACGGGAAAGTGACTAAGAGAGACAGAAACTGTTTCTGACAAGTTGACGCCTTTGAGGAACGTTGGCCTGCGCGCTGCTGGTGGGTAGTGTGTCCTCGACCTTTCGGATTTGGCTGTCGCCTCGACCACAGATTCCCTCAGCCTCATTTGAACACGCTTGTTTGACTTCACTGGCAATGGCTTTCCCCTTGCTGGAAGATCCTGCTTTTGCCAACCAACCAAAACAATACACAAATACTGGTGGATAATCACATTTTAAATAGATTGTTAATGTCCGTGTCTCAGAAAAGTCCAACAAACTTTTACCAAGTGATCCAGTCCCTTGACAATGTTTTTTTTATGAAAGGAAACAAAGCAAAACACTTGTGATGTAGAAAGCCAGTGGCACCAGTGTCAGCTGAATTTAAATGACATTGATTAAACCTATTGATTGGTGGTCAAAACCACGAGTTTTACTGCCTCCCTTGTGTTATCAATCAAGGCTTTGATATGCTCATTTCCCTCTCGCTCAGTTCTCTGTGTCTGAGGTGGAGAGCTGAGTAGCACTGTGAGGGTCCATGCTGTTCCCTGAGAAAAGTCATTTATGAACTCAGCCCCTATTACTGTTAAATAGTGTGTAAACAAGAGGGTGGTCAGAGAGAACATGACGATGCATTAACCTCTTCTCTGCCTCTGTCTGTCTCTGTTTGCCTCTCG